CAACTAGAAAAAAGGCCTGAATGGGGATTGCAGAGCAGGACAAGCAGACAAAAAAGGAATTAAGCTGAAAATTAAATCCTAAGTTACATCAAAATGACCAACAGTGGCTTCTTGTGAAAAATGGAGGAACCTGAGACTATAGCCCTCAACCACCCTTCAGGTTTGGAAAGGAACTCACCTATACACCTATTTACTGCTTGGCCCAATTTTCAGACAAGAAGGTATGCTCATCATGGAATGGTCAACCATTTAAAATCAAAAGGACAGCATCTTCCTAAGGACCAAGTTGAGAAGGGATGGAAGGCAGGTAGAGTGCAAATAGAAGGGGATTGCAATCATTATGATGAAACATAGTATATGATTTGCTGAATGTAAAACTCATAATCTTGTCTGTAAACCTTCACTCAATTCACAATAAAAATTAAAAGAAAAAAAAGGTGGAAACTCAAATGGTCATGAACAGATGAATACACAAAATATAGTGCCTTCAAGTTGGTTCTGACTCACAGTGAACTTGTTGTACAGAGGAGTGACTGGTGAGTTTGAGCTGCTGCCCTTATGGTTAGCAGCCAAGTGTTTATCCTACAGTGCCATTTATAAGTTAAGAGTTCTTTTACACTAGAACACTATATGCCCAAAACACCTACTACAGAAAACACAAATGAAGTATTTGAGGTAATGTATAAGAATGTAACTCCTAGTTTTAATACTAGAGTTCTAATACTAGAGTTCTGCCCTCCGCTCTAGCACATAGTTGTAAAGTCTCTGATGAACCAAGCTGATCTTAGGAGCCTCCAATCGCTCTGAGTTTACACACTAACTAGACTCATTATTAAGTCCAGGTGGTACACTGTCTTCTGATTTAGAAAAGAAATGACTCAAGGTCAGGGACTTTTAACTTGTACTGGAGTGTATAATAGAGTGATAATGTACATGAATGATTTCATATTCTCATTTTCAAAGAGTATAGCAATGTATTAGAAGGGAAAGCAAATCCTATTTGGATTTTAGTAGGGATTGGATTTGACCCCACTGTGACCTAAGTCATTATGAAGCTAAAGAGTCTAGGCCACGTGTAAGCTTAGATGAATACCCATTTGGTTACTAGGTCACACCCAAAGGCCCCAACTGCTCACAGTAAAAGGGACTATAGCACTGAATGCTAGAAAGCCTCCTTAATCTCTCCAGGGGATTAGCATTTTAAAAGAGAAAAGTACTAAATAAATTTCCAACTGGGAAATTTTAATGCAAAGTATTGGTTGTTGTTATTGTTTAAGTGCCTTTGAGTCGGTTCTGACTCATAGCAACCATGTATAGGGTTCTGAGGAGCGATTGGTGGGTTTGAACTGCCGAACTTGAGGTTCCAATCGATCTTGCGGTCCAGTGCTTATCCTACAGTGTCACACCAGAACTCTTGTAATGCAAAGTATAGGAGTTATTTTTTGGAAAGAAAATTAGCTGTCCAGGTATCCTAGCATCTTTGCAAAAGCATATGAGCAGTTTTCTACCTGCCACATTCCCCTTTCCACTCCTATAAGTTGTTGTTGTTAAGCGCTGTCGAGTCAGTTCTGACTCATAGCAAATCACAGGGTTTCCAAGGAGAAGCCAGTAGGTTTGAACTGCCAACCTTGCAGTTAGCAGTCCAGTGCTACTAGTAGTACTACCTTTCAGTATACAACATGTACCCAGTACTTAAATGTCCACCACTCTTCCCATTTCTTTGTACCCAGATGCTAAGCTGTGACTCACTGAGTGAACTTAGCCCCACATCTTTGCCCACTAAACGAGTAAGTAAAAAAACCCGTCATATGAGAAAAAGTTTGGAAAGGGGAAATTGCTTGGGGCCTAGATAAGACAAGGGATATTAGCCCCTTCATGATGTGATGAACTATAAAGGAAACTTACCTTAACACTGCTATCCTTGGGTCTTTTCAAGAACATAAAATAATAGAAAATTGCTAGATTACTGTTATTGGTTGAATTATGTCTCCTGAGAAGATACATTCAAGTCCTAACCCTCAGTGCCTGTAAATGTGAAATAGTGTCTTTGCAACTACAATTAAGGTCAAATTGGATTAGAGTGAGCTATAAATCCATTATGACTAGAGTCTTTATAAGGCAAGAGTGATTTAGAGACAGATACACAGGGAAGAAGGCTATGTGACGATGGAGGCAGAGATTGGAGTGATACAATTACAAGCTAAGGAATGCCAAAGATAGCTGGCAGTTAGGAAAATATTCTTTGAGACTTCAGAGGAATATGCCCTTGCCAACACCTTGATTGTGGACTTCTAGTACCAAGAATGGTGAGAAAATAAATTTGTGTTGTCTTAAGCCACCTAGTTTGTGATTCTTAGTTATGGCAACCCTAGGAAACAAATGCAATTACCTTGCAGTGTTACACTGGATAAGCTGCTTTTATGCTACTAGGCCTCAGTTTTCTTAAATATTATCATCTACCACCTTCCTGATTACTTCATAAGATAATGGGAATTAAGCAATTTAATTATAGGTAAAGTACTACCATAAGTACTTTATACAGTCTGTCAAACTCTGTAATAAATTCTTTTCTGAGGAGTTAGTATTCTCATAACCACTCACCCCGTCGTTCCTTAATGAGGTTAGCTCGCCGATCTCTCACTTCTGAACTCAGACTATCTACCATTTTACTAATGCAATTGTCCAGAACCAGGGAGTGAGTTTTGGAGATGATGTCCTTCCGACAAATAGGGCACTCCCTCTTGCGCTTCATCCATTCGTTGATACAGTAGGAGCAGAAACTGTGGGCACAGTTCAAGGTGAGAGCCTACAATGAAAATGTGAACACACACATCAGAACTGTCACACTTATGTTCCAGGGGTGGTTATGATCTTAAAACTAGAATGGGAGCTAATTTCCAAGGCCAAACAGAAAGTTAGCCAAAATCACATCTGGAGGGCTTACAAAGGGCATTAGAATCATTCTTAGAGCTGAGAAATTTAAGTTTTATATTAGATATTTCATTTCCTCGTGACTCCAAGTTAAGGTCATGGATTCAGACCCCAGGTGGGCTGGTTTGTATGTTTTTGTCCATCAACTCAGGTCACACTACCAAGTGAATTTGCCCTTGCAAACAAATGTTACTAGGTATGTAAATAAATGTTGTGGCACAAATCTATCACTAATTCTCTTATAAGAAACAAGTCTATGCCCTGCTAATAATGGTGAATTAGAACCTCAAGCATATACTCAATAAAAAGTGTGGTAAGAGGCATCATCTCTAAAGAAACTAAAAATACATAAATATACACAGCTGGGTGGAAAAGTAACTAAAAATGTGAAAAACAAAGAGTTCACTGGCAATGCCGGAACCTATAAGTAAATTTGCCTGTAAGGAGAGAGCAAAAGGAAGTCTTGACTCAGGGCTCTTCTGCATAATCTCTCTGGTTAGATTTCTCCTAGAGTCCTTTGCATTCCCAAGGAGCTAAGATAAACCATTCTCTTTATTCCTCATGCTTATGTACATACATCTCCTATGATACAACTTTCTCTGAGGCTCTCAAAAGTCCTCATTCCTGGAAACTGTAATCATTGCAATGAAATTATGAGTGTAAAACTGATGTTCTCCCATGTAAACTATTACTCAATTCACAATAACAACTTAAGAAAAAAAGTCCTTATGCTTTTTGGATAGCAGTAGAAAATAACAGAAATATTTTTCAAATGACAACTGAAGCCCAGAAAGCAAGAAAACTAGGAGACAGGTTAATAACAATATGAGATACACCCTCATAAACACAAGTATTAAAATGACACATCTTACCGACACTGACTTTTAAAAAGAGACTGGTAGTGTAAGGCAGCCAGTAAGCTGAAAACAAAATACAGGTTATGTGTAGATGCCCTGGGCTGACTAACCTATCACCCATTCCAACTCTTTTCCTTGTCTCTCTCTAAAGAGTTCACAGCCGTGTCAAATAACACTGAGTTTCTTTAAAGCAGGGATGTAAGTCTGTCTGGGAGGAAGTTTTCCTTAGGCTTTTACATCTAGCTTTCTTAAAGACCTCCCAAGGAAAAGAAACAGTGTACATGTAAGTTTTCCTTTTTAAAGGCACCTGAAATGCAGTCATTTAACACCTGAGCTTTCATACTTGTGATGCAAGATGTACTGGTCACAAGAAATACAATTTATAAAAGCTGCCCAAAAGATGAAATATTTGGGAATAAATGTAACCAGAGAAACAAAGGACCTATACAATGAAAATTACAAAACATTACTACAAGAAACCAAAAGAGACTTACAAAAGTGGAAGAACATCCTATGTTCCTGGATAGGAAGACTCAACATCCTGAAAATGTCAATACTGCCCAAAGCAATATACACATACAATGTAATCCCAATCCAGATTCCAATGACATTCTTCAAAGAGATGGAAAAGACAATTACAAACGTTATGTGGAAAGGAAAGAGACCCAGGATAAGCAAAGCACTGCTTAAGAAGAACAAGGTTGGAAGCCTCTCACTCCCCGATCTCAAAATTTACTACATGGCTACAGTGGTCAAAACAGCCTGGTTCTGGTACAATGAAAGATACACAGATCAATGGAACAGAATCGAGAACCCAGAAATTAACCCATTCACATATAGTCAACTGATTTTCGACAAAGTGCCTAGGTACATTGCATGGGGAGGAGACAGTCTCTTTAACAGATGGTGCTGGTAGAACTGGAAAATGATACGCAAAAGACTGAAACAAGACCTTTACCTCACAAAGTGCCTAGGTACATTGCATGGGGAGGAGATAGTCTCTTTTAACAGATGGTGCTGGCAGAACTGAAAAGTGATATGCAAAAGACTGAAACAAGACCTTTACCTCACGCCCTATACAAAAACCAATTCAACATGGATTAAAGACCTAAATGTGAACCCCAAAATTATGAAGGTCATTAATGAAAAAATAGGGACAAATCTGAGGGCTCTAATTCACGGCAAACACAGACTACCAAACATTTTGAAATTTACACAAACAAAAGTAAACAAAATAGATGACTGGGACATACTAAAAATTAAAAACTTATGTGCATCAAAAGACTTCATCAAAAGAATAAAAAGGGACCCACAGAAGGGGAAAAACATTTTGTAACGACACATCAGACAAGGGTCTCATCTCTAAAATGCATATGAAACTACAACAACTTTTCGAGAAAAAGACAAATTACCCAATTAAAAAATGGGCACAGGACATGAACAGACACATCACCAAGGAACAGATCCGGGCAGCCAACAAACACATGAAGAAATGTTCACGATCACTAGCCATTAGAGAAATGCAAATCAAAACAACAATGAGATATCATCTCACACCAGCAATAACAGCAAAGATCAAAAAAGTAGAGGACAATAAATGCTGGTGAGGATATAGAGAGACTGGGACCCTCCAACATTGTTGGTGGGATAGCAAAATGGTCCAACCACTCTGGAAAACAATATGGCACTTCCTCAGAAGGTTGGAAATAGAAATACCTTATGATGCAGCAATTCCTCTACTTGGTAATTACTCAGAAGAAATACGAGCCATAACACAAGCAGATATATGCACACCAATGTTCACAGCAGCACTATTTAAAATAGCAAAAAGATTGAGATAGCTTAAGTGCCCGTCAATGGAAGAATGAATAAACAAACTGTGGTACATACACACAATAGAATACTATGCTACCTTGCAGAACAACAAGTTAGCTGCAAGCCACCACATAACATGGATGAACCGTGAGGACATTATGCTGAGTGAAATTAGTCAGTCACAAAAGGAGAAATACTGCATAGGACCATTGTTGTAAAAAGACTAAGAAAAAGAACCCACCCTAAAAGGGGGAAATATATATATATAGCTAATCACCAGGATGTATGGGATGAGAAGAGGGGAGGGAGGGCAGAGAAGATAGAGCACAGGGTAGGGAATAGACACAGGATAGCTTGGGTGCTAGGGGACGGGGGTGGGGGGGAGGGGCATAGAAGAACAAGGCTGATGGGAGAACAGTTAGGTAGGTTCGCATGGGCAACGTGGGGCAAAGGTAAATGATGATGTATGCACAACCTTGGAACAACAGGGCTCTGGGATACAGGGATTGAGGCATGGTTTGAAGGGGTAAAAGAGGGGAGTAATGTTAAGATGTTTGGCTGTCTTTTGAATCTTGGTTTCCCTTGCCTACAATTGTAAAATAGACACTTGAGGGATGGAGAAAGGAATAGCCAGAAATATCACAATAGAAAGTTTGTAAGTCCGTCCTCAACCTAGAACTCATTGGAATACCTTAAAGGGAGCTAGAAGTTGCCTAGTAAAAGAGACTTCCTGTGGAGCCTTTGCATTACATAAGACCATAATAGGTGGAATCCAGAACCCCATCCAGAATCATCTAAGGTGGGAAATCTCCACTGGAAAAGACAAGTAGACCAGCCTGGAGTAGCTAGAAGAACAGAAGATACTTAGTGAAAGAAAGACCAGCAGGAAAAATCAGAAACAATAATGGCAGTCTGATTGATTACTACAAGAACAAGTAAGCTGTTTGCCTGGTAGCCATCAAGGCAAGTGGTCGGGTCCCCTCAGAGCAAACTCCCTTCCAAAACTAAGACTCAAGGGGAATATATGAGCAGGCATGTGGTCTGGTTGGTGACCATGTTAGTCACCAATAAGGGGAAGAGGGGGAAAAACCAGCAACGAAATTGGGAGCTAAGTCCTACCATACTCAATATACACCTGTGAACCTGTGTGGAGACCTGGATGGCCACCAGTATAGCAAGACCTGGGGACTCCTGGGTCCAGAGGCAGTGACATGACCACAGAGGACTAGAGAGAAGAGTGAAGCATCCAGCTAATATGAAGTGAGGGGAGATGCACAAGAACACCCATACTT